TTTGTTGGTGGATGTGATGTTTGCTGGTGGATGTGATTTTGTTGGTGGATGTGATGTTTGCTGGTGGATGTGATTTTGTTGGTGGATGTGATGTTTGCTGGTGGATGTTGACCAGACCACACACTAGAAAGTGAAGGGACGACGACGTTTCGGTCCGTCCTGTACCATTCTCAAATCGATTGTGTTGGTGGATGGGATGTTTGTTGGTGGATGTGAGGATGTTGCTGGTGGATGTGAGGATGTTGCTGGTGACTGTGCACGACAAACAGACAGGCAACCAGATAGACAGACAATAGAACCGTCAGCAAACAATTAATAAACTCCATTATGTTAAAGGTTCTTCAATATTCGCCACTCACAAAGGAAGCAAAGAATTGAACGTTTATACCAATGGCAAAAGTTCAACGATATATTAAATGAAGAATTATTTTCGTCGCAATTAATTTTAAGCTCTGATATATTTCGATTGCATCTGTCTGACCTTAAATTAATATCATAAAAATATATGAAATATGCAGATTAAAGAAGTGATAGAAACGAATAAAGTTATATTTAATATTTTTGATGACAAATAATACAACAAATACAATATCAAATAATGTTGTAGAAGTTGATTGTTGAGTTGTATTAGATCAGCAAAAATAAGAATCATTGATTGTTGCTCACTTTGATTGTTGCAAATAATAACGGCAATGTTGCAATAGAGCTATATGCTGCAATGGTCCCTTTAATGACACTAAACCATTTATTTAGATGTTTAAACTTTTAGAGTGACTGTTCGGGTGGCCAACCCGTTCATAAAACCAGTTTCGTAATTTGGCATATTTCGAATGATATAAGAATCGAACGTTCGAAAGGCCACATGCGTGTCTGATAGTCTGTTATCATCTGGTGTAGCGTTGGTGATAAGCTTAGTGTCGTCTTGAGGGAATGGCGTAGTTAATAAGCTAATTTGCATTTTAATTATGTAATTATTCATATTTGTATAATTATTATTATTATTATTATTATTATTATTATTATTTTCAAAATACTAATATTGATAGTAGAAGCTGTTAAACAATTAGAACACTAATGACCAGACAAGCACTGCTCATCCACGTGGTAGTAATTACACAGTTAAGTTATATAATTAGCAAAAATATTAATTTCTAGATACACACAATAAAGATCAGTTTACAGGTCACATTTACAGATTTACCTCAAATATATATATATATATATATATATATATATATATATATATATATATATATATATATATATATATATATATGTCGTACCTAGTAGCCAGAACTCACTTCTCAGCCTACTATTCAAGGCCGATTTGCCTAATAAGCCAAGTTTTCCTGAATTAATATATTTACTATAATTTTTTCCTTATGAAATGATAAAGCAACCCTTTTCTCTATGTATGAGGTCAATTTTTTTTTATTGGAGTTAAAATTAACGTAGATATATGACCGAACCTAACCAACCCTACCTAACCTAACCTAACCTATATTTATAGGTAAGGTTAGGTTAGGTAGCCAAAAAAGCTAGGTTAGGTTAGGTTAGGTAGGTTAGGTAGACGAAAAAACATTAATTCATGAAAACTTGGCTTATTAGGCAAATCGGGCCTTGAATAGTAGGCTGAGAAGTGCGTTCTGGCTACTAGGTACGACATATATATATATATATATATATAGGATTAGAGTGCAACCTGTCAGGTGATGATTGAGGGTCACTCCTTAAAAGTTGCAATGTTTACTTTGTTTGTTGGGAATATTTGTGCAGCGAGTCTGAAGGGAAGAAACTGTAAATACACAATGAAATCCAACCCGTCCTCAGGCTAAGCTCGTTAAAGCGGCGGCCAAAAACCTAGTCCCAGACATTCTCATATATTTTAACACACTGTGTATTAAAAATTAGTTTGCTCTCATACATAAGTCAGTATTATTGTATACTCAATTTATGTGTTTAGTTAGGCGTTGGTTAGGTTAGGCGTTAATAGGGTCTGTTGGCGATTATTTGTATCTGAAGTACGAGGGTGTGAAGCATTTGCAAAGCTGGGATTCGAACAGAGGTAATCACCAAAGACTTCTACGAGAAATATTCGACCATCAGCTTTGAGTCGTGTGCAAACCGTCTATCATTCATAAACGGGGTTTGGCGGCTGGATTAACGAGCCTTTGTTTATGAAGATGGGCTGAAGAACTCACACTAACATGAGAATATCAACTGGAGCAATGGGGGTGATTCGAACTCCCAACCACACACCTTAATTACTCCTCTGCCCCTTGGACTGGCTTCAGTAGGGACCCCAAGAGTTCCTTGGGACTCAGTGAAGTCCCTGGTTGTATAACTAACAGCAAGTCGTGGTGCAGGGGCTAAGTGGCTCGGCTGGACGTACAAACATCATTGGTTCGAGTCCACTGCATTGCTCTAGTAGATTTTATCAAGAAATTGTTAAGCTTGATCCATTGCTGGTAGATTAGTCAGTCTTAAAAAATCCCTTTTTGTTATAAATAAGTCCACAAGGGCCGTGACGAGGGTTCGAACTTACGTCCAAAGAGGATCCCAGACGCTTTTGTTGTACCTGTGTTGGGTTGGGGGGGGGGGATTAAGTGACCAGATGTGCATAGACACCTGTCAAGGTTAATATAACTGGCATCTGTCAACCTTGACACGTGTGATGGATAGGGTGTCAAGCTACACTATGTACACCTTGACAAGTGTGATGACGTAAATGAATTGACATCAATCTGATTGACAGCGTGTTGATGGGCCGCGTTGTTCTGATCGTGTTTGACGATTTCCCGATTACAAGATGTCTTCTCAACTAATAGGTCGCATTTTGTACGTATTAATAATCAGTGAGCCATATGCAATCTACTATGAAAAGTTGGGACTCACAAATATCCACGTTTTCTATGCATCGGAAAGGCTAGGTTAGGAAGGTTGTTTGGGTTTGCAACCATAAGAACAGGTATGCGAAAACAGTGGAGTATATGGTCAAATTGTACACACATGACGACAAAGCTCGTTTTCTGTTTCTGAAAACCGCAAATATAATGTTAGAATTTATTGGCTTGGGTTTGGGCTCGGTTGGGTTAGGTTGGGTACGATTAGGTACGTTTTAAAATCCGAGAACGAATCGTCTAGTGTACGATATCTTTCATATGCTCTTCACCTCATTCCTTCACCAAGACCCGGATTCACGAAGCAGTTACGCAAGCACTTATGAACATGTTCCTCAATCTTTGACGGCTTTGGTTACATTTATTAAACAGTTTAACAGCATGAAAACTTCCCAATCAACTGTTGTTATTGTTATAAACAGCCTCCTGGTGCTTCGGAGCTCATTAACTGTTTAATAATTGTAAACAAAGCCGCCAAAGATTGAAAAAAAGATGTTCAGGTTCGTAAGTGCTTGCGTAACTGCTTCGGTAATCTTGCCCAGTTTATTGCCAAGAATATTGGTGATTTATAGCCATATATTACTGAAACACCCAAGGCCCTCGATATCCCTTCGCATAACTTCCCCCGGGAAAGGTTGATATATTCAGTCGCTCGGACGCTTATCACCATATTGGTTAAGCTGATTAGCGCCAGCTGTAAACAAACATCCTCCGCTGCCAGGCGTTGAGGCTATTTACGGACGTGAATGGCCCGAGGTTGGTGTTTTGAGGCTCTGAACGGCTCGACGACGTTCACGTTCGTCGAGCACGTTCGTCGAGCACGCTCATCATGCCTCACAGACCACAGTCACTATAGTCATGTTCGGAGGGAAGTACTAAGTGAATGTGACTATATACCACTTGAAAAGGATATGAGGACTATGCCACCAGTTCGCAGGGAGGAGATCCGCTCATGGGAATGGATAGGGAACGACTACAAAATTAGTGCTATTATCTAGTCTCTATCCATGGTTAGGATAGGGTGCAGTTACTTTAGATTAAGGTTTGATTAGGTTAGGTTTCATTACGTTTGGTTACGTTAATACAGTATATTGATGATAATGTGAAATATGGAATTAAAAATTTATTTGAGTGTACCCAAGAATTCAGTTTCCAGAAAAACAAATTCTTCAAAGAAAACGTTTTCTTTAAAAGAAACATAGTGTATGTTTTCAGCATACACTTTTTACATTTTAAACCAACGATTTATAATACAATACATGTAGAACTTGAGAACAATCTCTGTTTACGACAAAGATTCATTAGCCAGTTTACTGGTAGACTATTACTGGAACCGTAAGATGCATTCAGACCATCACAATTATCTAGATAACTAGCCAGGTGGTTTGAGGGTGGGCGTGGTTTCTCATGGTAATAGATTTGCCCTGAAGACGGGCTTGGACAACGAATTAGGACACAAAGACTGATTCTAGGAACGGTATCCAACACCTTGGACTCTAGAGAATCGAATGCCGAACCTGTAAAGTTCGAGTCTCTACCGACCAGTCCAAGGGGGGGATAGGCAGTTTCGGTGACAAACTATTCGCTATTATACATCAATAATGGGATGAAGAAACCTCCGCCAGACACTTGATGTTATGCTAATTTATTGTCCTCAAGACTCGCTCAAACAGGAAAGGATTTTAGGATTTCTTATTTGGGGAATATCGATGAAATGGCTTCATCGTGACAGGAACTTCTGTCAGGATATAACTCGTGCAGATCTACGAGGTCACCCGTGTAGATCTACAAGAGCTGCCATTGTCGGTCCTTCATGAATGTGTTGGGTTAGTGTTGGCGCCAGACTAAACTTTCCCAAGTGTCTTCCGCACGTGTCTTCCGCACGTGTCTTCCGCACGTGTCTTCCGCACGTGTCTTCCGCACGTGTCTTCCACACGTGCCTTCAGCACGTGTCTTCAGTAGGAGGACGAGAGGAATACAAGCCACAAGCATGTCTTAAGGTCCCCCGTCCGCAACAGCTGTGACAATGGTTAGAGCCGGAATGGTGGCCTGTGTCGTCTTGGGCCAACCTGCACACACTACGGTACGTCCCTTCCTATCTTATTGTGGCCAATCTTGTCTCTCTGACCACTTCGTTATCCGCTGTGGCCCGGCTACAGGCCACACTAGGGGCCTCTTCGTCACCCACTGTGGCCCACTGGAGGCTATAGGCCACACTAGAGGCCTCTTCGTCACCCGCTCTTTTTTTTGTGGCCCACTGGAGGCTATAGGCCACACTAGAGGCCTCTTCGTCACCCGCTGTGGCCCACTGGAGGCTACAGGCCACACTAGAGGCCTCTTCGTCACCCACTGTGGCCCACTGGAGGCTATAGGCCACACTAGAGGCCTCTTCGTCACCCGCTGTGGCCCACTGGAGGCTATAGGCCACACTAGAGGCCTCTTCGTCACCCGCTGTGGCCCACTGGAGGCTACAGGCCACACTAGAGGCCTCTTCGTCACCCCTGTGGCCCACTGTGGCCCACTGGAGGCTATAGGCCACACTAGAGGCCTCTTCGTCACCCGCTGTGGCCCACTGGAGGCTACAGGCCACACTAGAGGCCTCTTCGTCACCGTTGTGGCCCACTGGAGGCTATAGGCCACACTAGAGGCCTCTTCGTCACCCACTGTGGCCCACTGGGGGCTACAGGCCACACTAGAGGCCTCTTCATCACCCGCTGTGGCCCACTGGAGGCTATAGGCCACACTAGAGGCCTCTTCGTCACCCACTGTGGCCCACTGCGGGCTACAGGCCACACTAGAGGCCTCTTCCTCACCCGCTGTGGCCCACTGGAGGCTATAGGCCACACTAGAGGCCTCTTCGTCACCCACTGTGGCCCACTGGGGGCTACAGGTCACACTAGAGGCCTCTTCGTCACCCGTTGTGGCCCACTGGAGGCTACAGGCCACACTAGAGGCCTCTTCGTCACCCACTGTGGCCCACTGGGGGCTACAGGCCACACTAGAGGCCTCTTCATCACCCACTGTGGCCCACTGGAGGCTATAGGCCACACTAGAGGCCTCTTCGTCACCCACTGTGGCCCACTGGGGGCTACAGGCCACACTAGAGGCCTCTTCATCACCCGCTGTGGCCCACTGGAGGCTATAGGCCACACTAGAGGCCTCTTCGTCACCCACTGTGGCCCACTGGGGGCTACAGGCCACACTAGAGGCCTCTTCATCACCCGCTGTGGCCCACTGGAGGCTATAGGCCACACTAGAGGCCTCTTCGTCACCCGTTGTGGCCCACTGGAGGCTACAGGTCACACTAAAGGCCTCTTCGTCACCAGCTGTGGCCCGGCTTCAGGCCACACTAGAGAGGGCCACTTCGTCACCCGCTGTGGCCAAAGCGAGTAATAAGACCTCAGATGCTTCAGGATCCTTCTCATTAATTACCTCTCTCGGAAATGGACAAAGGAGTTCGCGCGAAGCAACACCATCGCGGTCCCTCAATGCCATCCCAAACAATGGATTCTGGCTTCACAAAGGTTCTTCTGGCTGCATAGTTCACTCCGGACTCTGCGTCCTAGCGACGCAGAGTCTCTGCTTAATGAGCAAAGGTGTTTCTCCAAAGTTAATCACAGGATCCACTGTTAATCTTATCTATGATTAGCTACGGAAACTTGGGGAGGAGGTGTGGGTGTGTATTGCGGCCCCGGGAAACTCCAGTCAATGGCTTGAGCTCGAGCGGAATGTTGTGATATTGCCGGCTGGTTTTGTGGCTGTTTGTACTCGTCTAATTGAGCTTGTGGGAGGGGGGAGTGTTGTGTGTGTGTGTGTGTGTGTACTCACCTATTTATGATTGCGGGGGTTCAGCTTTGGCTCTTTGGTCCCGCCTCTCAACTGTCAATCAACTGGTGTACAGATTACTGAGCCAACTGGGCTCTATCATATCTACATTTCAAACTGTGTATGGAGTCAGTCTCCACCCCATCACTGCCTAATGCATTCCATTTGTTAACTACTCTGACACTGAAAAAGTTCTTTCTAACGTCCCTGTGGCTCATGTGGGTACTCAGTTTCCACTTGTGTCCCCTTGTTCGCGTACCACCCGTGTTGAATAGAGGATTTAAGTGAGTGTGTGTGTGTGTGTTTACAGGTTACTCAACACCTGTAGTAATGATATGGAAGTGCTTTGACTTGTGAGATCTGTTGGAGGTTAATTTCAAAGAACGTGGATGGTGTTAAAAATATAAAATGAGTGGGTTTTGGGGCAGAAACTTCTTTTTCTTCATCACAGTGTATTCAACCTATAATTCCTCGCCGCCTGATAGTTTTCAAATATTGTTTCGATTCTGTACTCTCATTCATTAGAACTCCACATCATCTGATGCCTCGACTCTGATTCAGAGTATCCCAGGTGCCAGGAGATATCGTATTGTTCTATATTGATAATTATATCATTTATATATGAAGAGGCTGTCATGCGAATCAGTCTGTCATCTACATTATGTCTAAAGGATCCATAAAATAGTAGTTTCTTTAAAGGTTTCTTTGGAGTAGTTTCTTAATAAGTCTACTTCACGTACTGAGTGATCTTCTTGCTTCTTGATGATCATCTACTTGTACTTTTAAGTTCAGAAACAAAAATGCAATCAAAGGAGTTATCGTTACAAACTCTCCACCTTGGAGTCTGGCTTACGATATCGATCCTCCAGATGTTGGGGGTCAAGATAGTGGGTTTTGCAGATCGGACGGATTACAGGACTTTTCACTAGAGGGCCTTCCAGGATGGGCGAAGCCCCTTGGGCCACGTCGCTTTCCCCACGATCTTCAGGGATGGAGAAGGATAGGATGGTGGCCACACAATCCTCGAGAAAGGGGAAGGGATAGGATGGTGATGGGTGAGGTGAATTCAATAAATAAATGGGATCAGGGGGGAAGAGGGAACACCCTCCCCTTCCTTCCATTGAAGTATGAGTATAACCTCACGTCTCTCTGCCTCCTTCACCCACCACGATGCCAAGTGAAGGTACACACATCAAGGACCTTGCATGTCACAACGCATAGGTAACCTGTTGCCATGTTGACCATCTTTTACTGACGCCTCGCCTTCAGGAAGGTCTGAATAAATAAGATTAATAATAATCTGAATGAGAATAATGAAGAATTAATCAGATTTGTCTGCCATCTACCCGTCTGGGCAGCGCCTCCAGGCTTCTGCCACTAAATACTTCGCAGTATTCAGCATTCAGTATGCCCCAAGAACAGGGGCATTCTTTCACCCTGAATGCCCCTGTTACCTAGCAGTAAATAGGTACCTGGGTGTTAGTCAGCTGTCACGGGCTGCTTCCTGGGGGTGGAGGCCTGGTCGAGGACCGGGCCGCGGGGACACTAAAGCCCCGAAATCATCTCAAGATAACCTCAAGAAAGCTCCGGGTGAGAAGATTTTGTAATTTGTATTTTCGTGTTGTTACCTGGAAATTAATTTATATCTTCTTCTTGCGATGATTTCGGGGCTTTAGTGTCCCCGCGGCCCGGTCGTCGGCCAGGCCTCCACCCCCAGGAAGCAGCCCGTGACAGCTGACTAACACCCAGGTACCTATTTTACTGCTAGGTAACAGGGGCATAGGGTGAAAGAAACTGCCCATTGTTTCTCGCCGGCGCCCGGGATTGAACCCGGGGCCACAGGATCACAAGTCCAGCGTGCTGTCCGCTCGGCCGACCGGCTCCCTTAGGAGCCGGTCGGAATTATATAGGAAAATTTATATGAATTTACAGAATTTATAGGAAAAAAAGACAGTATACCTCTGTTGTGAACCTCGCCGGTCAGTGTAACGTAACATCAAGGTATTACCGACGTCGAGGACAATACAACCGCATCCATTTACGTCAGTATGAACATTTCGTTCTTTTGAAAATTTCCCGGACCCGTGACACTCGGGTGTTGCGTAAGATGCTGGCTGGCGTAGTACGCAAGTCTCCCTCAGCGCCTCGCCGGCCAATGGAACTCTACAAAGGATCTGAGTCAGCGTCGCTAGGCTGGTTTGTTTACGTCTGAAGACTTCTCGTGATCTCCTTGAGTCACATCCTGCAGGTGCCTCGCTATAGTGGACTGTTGCCTGCGGCCAGGACACTCAGTGGCACGCAGGCTCTCGGCCAAGACAGTCGGAGGTTTTAGAGCACTTTTCCTGAGCTCTAAAACTCTGCCGCTGTGAGAAGTCACCGCGCCAGTGTATGGGAACTACTGTGGGTATATACTAACTC